TTCCTCGATATGAAGGTCTGGGAATCCCCTTCCATTGGCATATTCAGGCTTGCAAACTTTCTATTGTCTTAACGGGTTACCCTTTGGTTTTTGCCTTTCTGAGGCTTTAATATCAATATGATTGAGAGAAATAGAACATAGATGCAGTTATCTATCGACTCAAACGCTTAAAAAGCGAATATCGAGCGATTTTCGTGTGTTTTTCTTCATTAAAGCAGATCGGGCGACGGGCGGCTAGTGACAGTTTAGAGAATTTAGTACATATCACTAGCCGCCCGTCGCCCGATCTGCTTTAATGGAGAGAAACACACGAAAATCGCTCGATATTCGCTTTTTAAGCGTTTGAGTCGATAGATAACTGCATCTATGTTCTATTTCTCTCAATCATATTGATATTAAAGCCCCAGAAAGGCAAAAACCAAAGGGTAACCCGTTAAGACAATAGAAAGTTTGCAAGCCTGAATATGCCAATGGAAGGGGATTCCCAGACCTTCATATCGAGGAAAAGTGAAGTTGCAAAGATTTTGTTGCAATTAATCCCTTTGTAAAAGATTAAACAGATTCAACATGCAAGAAGAGAGTGTGTAAACGGCTGTTAAATGATCAACGCTCTTGATATGCGAATATAGAGCGATACTCGTGTGGTTCTCTCTATTAAAGCTGACCATGCTACGGGCGGCTAGTGACATGTACTGAAGTTTTTCAAAATGATTTAAAATCAAGCGATTACACTGTAATTGCATCTAAATCGACTTAAAACAGTTTGTTCAGCATGTAAAAAGCTTACCCCCGCTTTAAAACATCAAGAAAATACCATTTTTAAGTAGAAAGTATCAGTCGCCATCGCAGCAACGGCTTTGGCCAGGCCTGGACGCTGCGATGCAAATTTGAGAAAATTTGAAAAGTGACCTTTTCAGAAAAATCGATTTTAAAAAGAAACGCGAGCTTCAAACAGAGCAAGCTATATATCAGAATTTAGGCGATTTTTGGCTCGATTTTTAGAAAGTGTCAGCGAATTTTTAGCGGCTGTTTTCGATTTTTAAAGTCCAAAAAACCGTTTTTTGGCGATTTTCGAGACAAAATCCTTAATAACTCGGCTAAAACTGGTCCTAAAAAAACGGGAAATAGCTTAAAAAATCGAGCATCGAACGGCCCGTCCCATGAATTAAACTAGAAATTCATAGCTATTATAGTTTAGGAGTAAATCACCAAAAACTGAGATCTTTACAAACTCTGGGAATCACAAGCCTATTGTTTTTTCTGAACTGCTTTGTGCAAACCTGAATCCCCCTCGGTCAAAACTGAGTAAAAGTCGAATAACTTTGCCATACATGGTCCGATCGTCTCAGCGAAAAAACCAACAGAACGGGCACAATCTCCTGCATCCTGTGGTATAACGCATAAATTGATACACTGTATACTTTTGCAAAAAACGCAACTTTCAGCTGAAACACTGCCTATTCAATCGGAGACAAAAGGCTCTCTTTGTGTAAACTAAGGAATGTCGGAGCCGGTTCACGGAAAATGTCGATTATCATTGCGAGGAAAAGGAGACAAAAATCACAGAAATTGCAATGAATTGTTCACGCTTCAGTCTTCAATCATACGATAGGACTAATAAATCGACTAATAGACGAAGGTAGGAAAAATTAAAGTTCACGCAAATAAGCAATTGAAAGGATTCTCACTTTAAACAAAGAAAATTCAATGACGGATTTCTAAAGCCTTTGAATGACTTTGAATGTAGTAAGAGCCTCTTGATGTGGGTTCCCCTAAATCACATAGCCAAACGTGATTGACGGGTACTGTTGAACGTTAAAGGAGATCAGGTTAGTTATTTTAACGCATGTTACTACCTCGAGCCAGGAGAATCAACAGTGATATTCAAATGTTAAGACGTGTGAGATTGGTTACAGAAGAACTGTCTGAAGCGGTCTGTACTGGAGCAGTAATATTAAACACGATTCGGTTATCCTTACACTTTGTGCTAGAGAAGCCACTATTACCTTTTAAAGTTCCAAAAATTTGACGATGAATGACTAATTCTGATAGTTAACCTTGAATTTCTATCTTGATGAAGATAAGCAGTAATGCAACCATAAGTTTTTGATGGAAGCGGGTAGCAGATATTCGTTACCTAAACAAAAGACATAACGAGAAAATCTACAGCTTAAAATAATGGAGAGAGTTAGACCGGACTCTTGAAGGCTTTAAATACCCCCTTCTAGGTCAATGGGTGTTTCGGTATAATAAATGGAAACAAGTAAAAACAAGACGTTCTATGTCTACTATCCTTTGCGTCTAATAAATGGTGACAGATTTCACTTACATCAAAATTTTCAATTATTACCTATAAAACTTTTAAAAGATCCAAAGCCCCACTTTTCGGACAAATTTGTTTTTATATTGAGTACCTCTCGAAGGGTTTTTGTAATAACTGCATGTGTTGTCATGCGAATACCACATTCGATTGCAGGTTCTAATAAAGTTCTTCCAAAATATTTCAATGGTATAAAAGCAAGTAGCGAGAATTCTACAGCCGTTTTAAATGTAAGTGTCCCTTGTAACCTTAACCAGAAAAAATGTACACTTCATCTCTAAATTGAAGGATGAATGTATGGCATAGGAAATTTGTTTATTCTAGTTTTGTGCCATTTCTAGTTTCAAAATTCAATAGGACATGAATATAACATTCATTTATTTGAAAGGAGTGGGGTACCATTATAAAATATTTTCAACATGGAGAGAAACTGAAATATTAAATCGGACAATCATGGGTGGGGGAGGGGCATAAGAGGGGGTGGGCCTATCAAATTGTCTCCTTTGTTTCACTCTCGTGTTTAATAAACAACTTAAATAAGGTTGTTAAAGCAAAACAAAGAAACATAATGATAGCCAGAATGATAAAAGACTTAGAACCACACGGTTCAACCTGTGAACGTTACAAACAAGATCGAAACAAGTCATCAAGCGTCCATCAAGGATAGTTGCAGGGTGGTTGTCCGTATTGACAAGTCCGCTTTTACCCGTCTTCTTGTATATCCAACAGCATCACAACATAGAAACCAAAGATGAAACATGTGGCACTGCACGTGACCTAAAAAATAAAATAAATTCTTCAAGAAAAAACTCACTGGGTAATCAAGTTCAGGGGAATCTGTGGCACAAACTTACGTAGTTTGCATGGGCAGGAATAGACTCAAAAATAAGGGCAGGAATAGACTCAGGGGCAGGAATAGGCTAATTGATGGTTTTAATACTGAGAAATTTTTGCATCCACATATTTTGCTGTTGCCAATTTAGTCTAGTTTTTCTTGTCTTTTTATTTATTTATTTATTTATTCAGTTTGGCAGAATGTTTAAGGGATGCAAGTAGTTGAACTGTAATTTTTTACTTTTTATTTGTTTTTATTCATTCTATTGATCTCTTTTTCCTTTTCTCTTGCAGCTTGAATTCTTTGTTATAAAAAATACATAATACCCCTTTACACTCTTTGTACATTGTACATCACACCTGAAAACTGTAAGCGTCACAGCTGGAAAACTCTCTCCGAATCATTTCTATGATTTCTTCAGAAAAATCATTTACCTCCAATTGGTTACATTACTTATCTGTTATATTAATCATTACAAATTTCTTTATGACAATGTAATACTTTTTAACTTGTTTAGGCAAATGAGCACATTGTATATCACTTTCCTAATCTTAAAACCTTTTATTGCAATTAACCTGACATACTGAAAAGGTAAATTTTGAGTTTGAGTTTTTATGTTCAGTATTTGCATAAAAGTCAATGTTCCATTTACCAAAGCTCGGTTGTGTGCATTTCTCTACATTATTTATCTCCCCATAAACAATTGCCTTAACGATATCCAGACTCCCTTTCCTTTGGAAACGAGGAAACAAACCTTAGCCCTCTTCCTTTGGCTATCCCATCAGTCTGTTTCAACAACTGGGAAATATAACTAATTGGGATATACTTAAAAGTCAACCTTTAAAATCCAACCATGAATGGCATAAATAGTTTTTACTTAATATTGCTGTTTCTTCTAATATTTCTCATATTTCTTTAAAAAACTGATGTTTTCTATCTTTATTCAAATATTTTAATGAAGCAATCTTGCAGAATCAATCGTTTGATATTACCCATCATAACTAATACATTAGCAGCTCAGATATCATTATGATATAATAATGTAAAGAGAATAATAATATAATAGTGTTCTCAGATTCAGAAGAACAGACTCAGCTCTCGCATATCGTCTCTCTACAAACGTTTTACTGTTCATCACTTTTCTTTCAAACGACGTACATAATAGCAAAAAATATTTTTCAATAACTGGTTTTTTCTTCGAAACTGTGCTACGAACAGGAAAATTCGAGTAATATAACAAAGCTGAAATGGTGAAAAATATAAAACTATTGGAATTCGTTTCTAAAATTTCAGGTCGTTGTGAAATTTTGGCCGCCATTGAAACCAAACGCTAGGAACTGAAACTCTTATACAAATAAACGTTTAGAATCATTTTTTGTCTAGCCCCCATCGAGCATTTGTGATTTCATCAATATTCATATTGGTGTCTATAGAATATAGGAAATGGGCAAGGGGGAATGAGACAACCATCTTGCCTTGGAACAACTGTTTACCTTTCTTGGAGAAAGAAATAATTCAGAAGAAGGAGCAGCTCAGCAAAGTAACAAACCAAGAAGCCTAAAAACTATGCTTTTTAAACAAAAAGAATGAAAAAATGAAAAATAATAAAATTAAAAGAAAGTTGAATAAAGTTATCTTGAAAATTGATGCTGTTCATAAAATAAAGTTTCCATTTCAAGATAGTTTGTTTACAGTTTCTACTAGGAA